TTTAAGTATAAATTGCATTCTATTATGAAATCTATTTTCTACTCACTTTGTATGCCCAAATCAATCTCATCAAGAGATTTGCCTTTGTAGACCTCAGTTCCACGTTTGATTGCCATGAGCAGCTTGCTCATCTTTGCAAGCTGAAGTGTGTTCTCGGTTAGGCGATAGTATTCACAATGAACATGAATATCATTTCCCATAAATTTGGCAAGTTGATCCAACTCATTTTCTTTCAGGTTCATTATCTGACTAAGTGTAGTCATATGTTTCCTCAGGTGGGTTGACGTGGGTTTTTCAGGCTTCCTTGCCCCACTTGCAACTGCATAGTTCCTCAACCAGTCTGAACCTCGGAGATGAGAATCCGAATGCTTGCAAAGACGTACTCATTACTACCCAAAATGCCATTGTCCTCACCCCTTTGCTCAAAGAGGAAATCAAGTGATTGTCATCTCTCTGGTAAGCAGCACAGGTACTTTCCCTCTTATCACCAACCTGGTAAACTCATGATTCAAATCTTGTTCCCATTTTGAAAGGCACTGCATAATGTCCTCATTTGGTTCTGTTCCTATAGGTCAACAGAGGCAATTTTGCTGCCTCTTCAGTTGAAAAGTATGATTTGTGAGAGAAGGCACTCACTGAGAATCTTGTATGCTTTAGGGTTAAGCGCTTCCATGAGTTTCACTTTTGCCTCCTCTGCTGTGGACTTCAATACTTGATGCAGCTTCATCACATCTTCTGTGAGCGAGATAATTTCTTTTTTGTTCCATCTGTCCTCTTCTAAGTTTGTTCATACATGGCGTGACACATAGAGGTCCCACTCTGCTGCCACTAAGTCCAAGAAGCTCTTTACTCTGCCTGCAGCTTCATCATTTTCAGCTATTTTCAGCGTTTATATCACAATGTCACATACTGCCTTTAGCGAGTGTCCTAACTTCAAAGCAAGAGATGGTGTGTTATACCTGTACTTGGAGCTGGTGAACCCAGAGGCTTGTTTTGCTGCTTATCTCCAAATTCAAGCTCTGTGAATTTCACTATACTGATTTCTGATTCCAGGTATGAGTGCTACTGCCCGTAAGCGTAAGGAGGAGGTTGCTCAGGCCCTGAAGAAACTGATCCAGGCCAAGGGAAAGACACCTGCCATGAAATACCAGCAGCTGCTCGATGACCTCAGAGGACAGTCTGAAACTGTAAATACTTTGAGTGGAGTCGGCGTGCTCCTTGTTACTAACCCACCTCAACAAATGCTTTGATTTCTAGTCCATGACCGTGTTAAAAGATAAATTAATATTTGATCATATGGCAGATAGCCAGCATCCAATACCAACTGTGCAATAGAAAATAAGTCTTTTAATGTTTTCTTGACATTTGTGAAGTAGAGTTATTCTGGATCAGTGTGTAGGCTTAAAATTGAAGAAATAAAAGGATGTTGATACTAACAGTGGTGGTAGTAAAATTAAATTAGCCAAACCACAGTAAACCTATGAAAGTATTGACTATAATTAAAAAATCTGCTCTTAGCACCACCACCACTTCCTGTAATGAAGTGCCACTTTGTTTTCAGGCGATCACCAGGGAGCTGTTCGATGAGGCGCTCCGAGCCCTAGCTGACGAGGATTACTTAACAGTCACTGGAAAGACCGTTCGTCTCCTCGCCTAAGGCACACCCTGCAATTATGTACAGTACTTAACTTGAAATTCCATCCTGTCGTTTCTCATCCTGTAAAACAATGTGTAATTAAGAATCCATTCTGAGTGTGCTAGATGTTTGAATGTCCTGATGATTCAGAATTGCCATTCAAACACTGGTGTCCTGTTGTGACGACACATACTGGAATTTAATGGAGCTAATATTTAAAAATGCTTCTATTTCTTTTGTTTGTTACAAGTTTTCAAGTAATGCTCTTCCTGTTTTGTGCTCCATCATAATTGAAGAGCTCTTTTTCTAACTTGTACATTGCATATACTCATTGAGTTTCTCTTGTTCTTTTTGGTTCCTGTTAAAGCAAGCTTGAAACATACAGTATGTTTCTTTTGTCTCACATTTCTAAATACTCTTAAGTACTTAATACCAGAGTTGAATTGTCCTTGTAGCTTGTTTTGACTGCTTGTTAATAGAGAGAAAATAAAATGTTGCTCACTGAAAATGCTCAAGTTTTTTTCCAGTAGTTGAATTAAATTCAGTTTTTCTATATTTATATTTAGATCTCAACATTGTTACTCCAAAAACCACTTTTTTGCTGCACCATTTTAACAAAAGGAAATATTCTTAATGCCTCTTTTTATACACACACTAAGTTTGACCTAAATTATTATCCCTGGGATCTTAACTAGAAATATGGACAAAAAAAGTCACTCCTGTCCTAAAATGTCAGAGAGCAGCTAACTACAGAAAAACCTGAAATTGAAGAAAAGAGTTTAGCTAGTTATCAAAAAATCTTTTCCTTCATGCTCTGAGTCCTGGCAACAACTAAATGGCTTTATACCATCTCCCTTATACCCTGATCTGTGTCTCATCACAACTTTCTCACTGAGGTCTACAGAGAATTCCTGGGGGTTCATGGCTTGGTTTTTGTCTGACATTTGGTGTGAAGTGTGGGGTCTTATATAAACAGGTGTGTGCCTTTCAATTTAATTTGGACTACAGTCAAACTCCAAACATGTTTCAAGGATTATTATAGCACACAGATTACAGCTGGCGAATTCTAAAAACGTCATTAATGGGTTACTTGGTGTGAGATGGTGAGAAAATAGCCCACCAGTTTTATCCATTTAAAATTAAAGCTACAACAAAGTGCGCAAAGGCGTCTGAATTCCTTCTGAAATGGCTGGTTAAAAGGAGATTTAAAGGGAACATTTAGATTCAGGAGGTTAAGAGTCAACACAGGTCGCCAGAGTTATGGCTGCTGTCGGTCTGTCAAACTCCAGTGATCAGTAAAGTGCAGTGCGCTCATCTGCCGGTGCTCACCGCTGTGATGTCACACCTCTGTGTGCTTCTGGACTCGGCTGAAGAAGATGGCGACCTCCTCAGGTTTGTGTGCCTTCAAACTAACATTCACAGCACATAAAATATGGGCAACGCTGAGGTTGCTTTCGCATCTCAGCCAGTAAATTTGGCCATTAGCTGTCTTAAGATGTTTATAAAATCGCTCTGCGATGCAGTCGTTTCGCAAATATCTCCTTTCGGCAACGCAATGATATTCAGGGGACCCGTCTATTTCATGGATCTAGTGTGTTGGCTAGCGTAGCTAAAGCCAGGCGTTGTGAATAGCTTGTCGCGTGAGTTAGCTGAAATGGATCGAGGTGTCAAGATATACGCGTTAGTAGCACTAATATTCAATTTGTGTGACACAAAGACTACTAAATAGGCAGTATAATGCTATATAGAGATTCAAGGATGCATGTAAGTTGCTCTCAGTGTTAGGATTGTAAACAACCGCAGGCAGTACTAGCTAGTTTAGCCAACTCAGCGACTAGAATATTCTGACGCCGCGCGGTAGCGATTGTGGATACTGCTCTGCTAGTTGATCAGAATATCGCATTAAGTACAGACTTTCTCTTGTTTTTATTGGGGTTTGTCTCTCTACACACTGTCGAGGCACACATATTTGGTATGCTTTAATAGCCATTTAGCTGTTAACCGTGACAAACAGTGTGGGGACGCTTCTCTGTAATGCAAAACAATATGGTGGTGGAATTGTTTCAGTACAGGGACCGGTCCCGCTGGTGCTTTCGTTAGTACTTGCTAACGTTGTCGGATTTTAAGAGGATTTCAAATATTTAACTATACTAAGATATTCGAGGAGTGGGTGGATATTTGCCAGTGCAGGGTGTTTTGAAAGTGACGAGTTTAGTAAAGAACCGAACTGTAGTCTGCACGCTTTGTTTCAGCAAACAGTCGGAGCCCATGTCTGCATTAGCTTTCAACAGGAAGCGCTGATTTCAAGCTTCCAAAATAAACTATTTGAATTACGGGAAAACTAAATAACTAGATTTATATTCATATAAGGTTTATGTTATTTAATTCTACGCCACTTTACTCATACATCACGACAACGCTAAAACAGACTGGAGAAATGGGGAAATAGTTTCAACACAATCGAAACTTCCTTTAGGGCAAGTTAGCGTGACTTACTGATTCGTTGTTAACCTGGTAAGATTTGAGTTACTAGTGCCACCAGTGGACTGAGACGCTTTTACATGGTATAGCTCTTGAAATATAGTGAGTTTTTTTTCTCTCAGGTTTTAGGGTTAAGTGAGTTGCGCATTGACTTGGATTTAATGCATTTTAAGTCGTGAATTTATTATTTCCGTACTATGATACTCATTCATACATTTATTTTGTGTGTGTGTGTGTGTGTGTGTGTGTGTGTGTGTGTGTGTGTGTGTGTGTGTGTGTGTGTGTGTGAGCGCGCACGTAGGTTGATCATTTTGACTTCGTCATTTGAAAAGTAGCCCGCAAGGCGAAAAAGTGTGGGCACCCCAGGCTTAAAGTATGCTGAGTGTAGAATTTCACCATGCGTTTCAATGGGGCACGATAAAATTCTTATGAAAAGCATGAATGTCCTTGAAGAGCTGAACATATTGATTACTGAAATTATGCTGAAGTAGAATTTTCCCATTCATTTGAATGGGGCAAGATTGTCAAAATAAAGCTAAATGTTTCAAAAGTATGAAGTTTAGAAATGACTGTCCTTGAAGAGCTGAACATTTTGATACCTGAAATAGCTGAATTTTTGCCCCATTCAAATGAATGGGGCAAAAATTTCAAAATAAAGCTAAATGTTTCAAAAGTATGAAGTTTAGAAATGACTGTCCTTGAAGAGCTGAACATTTTGATACCTGAAATAGCTGAATTTTTGCCCCATTCAAATGAATGGGGCAAAAATTTCAAAATAAAGCTAAATGTTTCAAAAGTATGAAGTTTAGAAATGACTGTCCTTGAAGAGCTGAACATTTTGATACCTGAAATAGCTGAATTTTTGCCCCATTCAAATGAATGGGGCAAAAATTTCAAAATAAAGCTAAATGTTTCAAAAGTATGAAGTCTGGAAAAATTCTGAAGAGAAGCATGAAAGTTCTTGAGGAGCTGAACATGTTGATACTTGAAATAGATGAAAGTATGCTGAAGTACAATTTCCCCATTCATTTTAATGGTGCAAAAGTTTCAAAATAAAGCTAAATATTTCAAAGGTATGAAAGTTGTAAAAAAAGGTTGAATACATACCATAATGTCCTGAAAAACCTGAACATTTTGATACCAGAATGACATTTCTAGCTGAAAGTATACTGAACTTATTAAGATGTGAACATTTTCCTAATGGTCCTCACAAAGTAGGTAAAAGAAGTAGTGTTGTGTGTGTGTGGTGGGGTATGAAAAAGAAAGAGTAGTCCTACACACTGAGAAATACTAGTGTGGCTATTGAAATGAGGCATAAAATGTAAATGGTAATTATGCAAAAACCATAAAAAATATCAAAAAGCTGCTTACAGTATATATAGCTGAAGAGTTGCTGAATAGTTATTAGTTGAAATGGTGGTTTTAGCTGAAGGTATGCTGAAGATATTAAGATGTGAAAATTTTTCCCATTCATTTGAATGGGGCAAAATATGCTGAAAAAAAGCTAAATAGTATAAAAAGTATAAATGTTACAAACAATAAAAATATAGGCAGGAATGTCCTTAAAGAGTTGAACATTTTGATAACTTCATGGCTTTTGTAGCTGAAAGTATGCTGAAGAAATTAAGTGTTACGTGTGCTCGTATATGGGTAAGTGAGTGAGCAAAAAGAAAGGCAGACCCAGATAGCTGACTTCAGTGCAAGCAGTGATTTATTATATATACAGTGCAGTGAATGGTGAGATAAAACAGGAGTAGATGAACTGAATAAACCGGGTGTCGATCAGCAGCAGATAACAGTACAGTGATAAGATGAAAGGAGTAGGCCGAGCTGCGTCGCTGGGGTCACTCCTGAACTGGTCGGTGGAGAACGGTGATTACTGAGGACATAGACAACAGAGGTATGAACAGATGGAAACTGTTGACTGTGCATCGACCTGACTGGTGGAGACTGGAAGGGTAGAGTTGGAGCCGAGGTCCGGAGGAGTAATCCGTGGAGGAAGATAACAGCAGAGCAGCAACAGGTAGTCCAATTAGTATATAGTAAAACACAAGGTAAAATAGAGACTGAACAAAGTATAATAGAAAAATAACAACAGAGAGAGTCTGAGAACAAGAACGAACCGGCAAGGGAGTGATAGTTGAGCAGGGTATAAGTAGGGGCAGAACTAATAAGGTGCAGCTGGTGACAATTAGGGGATGTGGAGCAGGTGTGCCAGGTGGTGTGATCAGGGGCTGAAAAAAAAGGGAACAAGGTGAGGGTGGTGAGAGAGGATGCTTTACAGCATCCACACAATAACTGCAGCTTCAGCACAAGCTGACCCAGTCGTGGTGTCACGGCCTTCCCCACCAGCCAACCCTCCTTCAGGGCACAGGGAGAGATTTGTTGAAAATCAGAATGGATGGTCATTCCCGGGGTTTTCTGCTGACAGTTACCTATTTTGACTGGTTGGGAGTATTAATGCTTATGGAGAGAAGTATGAATCATTCCTCTTGCAGTCGCTGAAATAAAATCTGTTCTTGGCTTTCACATTCTTGCTGTCTGTCTTTTTGTGCTGCTTTTCTCTGTCTTCTAATAGCACATT